TATTTTCCTGTAGGGTAAGACAGATTTCCATACCCAATTGAGTGTGTATGTTATTCCCTCCTTAACCCAAATCCTATGAGAATAAGATTCTCTCATTTCCTCTCATCTTCCCGTTTCCCCTCCACTGTAAGAACCTTTTCTTGTCTGTTTTGTGCAAGATAATGTGCCCCATTCTACCTCTCCCTTTCTCCTTTTTCTAGTATAATCCTCTCTCACCCCTTAATTTTATTCTCCAGATATCACCCCTTCATCTTCAACTTACCCTGTGCCATCTATCTATCTATCTATCTATCTATCTATCTATCTATCTATCCATCTATCTATCTATCATCTATCTATACATATATATAATTTTTCCCCTCCCACTACTCTAATACTGACAAAAGGTCTCATAAGTTATAAATATCATCTTTCCATGCAGGAATGTAAACAGTTCAGTCTTAATAAGTCTCTTATGATTTCTCTTTCCTGTTTACCTCTTCATGTTCCACCTGAGTCTTGTATTTGAAAGTCAAATTTTCTATTCAGCTCTGGTCTTTTCATCAAGAATGCTTGAAAGTCCTCTATTTCACTGAATGACCATCTTTTCCCCTGAAGGATTATACTCAGTTTTGCTGGGTTATATGTTTCTTTTTGAACTTCCTTCTATTCTGCCCATTTTTAAAAAATGTTTTAGCAGCCCTCTTTTTTCACATCAACATTACTAACTTTCCCTCTTCTCTTTAATCTCTGTCCCCCAGTCAAAAAGATTGGGTAAAAATATCACCTTGCAACAAATAAGCAAAGTTAAGTAAAACAAAAATACGAAGTAGCCATACCTGAACTGTGGGTCTCCATTTATACTTTAGGTCTATCATCTAGCCATAAGGAGGTGGGTAGAGTGCAATGGAGAAATGGCTGTTCATTGCCCTGATCAAACTCCTTAAGTTTTACAAAGCTGGTTCTCTTTAAAAGGTGTTATTCACCTATAGAGTGCTTGCTTGGTTCTGGTCATTTCACTCTGTATGTGTTCATATTGCTTAGTATTTTTTGAAATCATAGTTTTCATGATTTTTTTGTGTTGCAAAAAATATTCATTATATTCATATACCACAATTTGTTAAGCCAACTGATAGGTACCTCCTTAATTTCTAGCTCTTTGCAGTTTTTCTTTTTTCCTTTTAATTTCTGCTTCAGGATCATGAAGTTTTTTTTGCTTATAATTATTCCACTCTTGGCATTATTTGCCTCTTGAATGCCCTCACTCATGTGTGTGAGCGCATGCTCAGCCCTCCTCTGTTCCGTTCAGAGTGAGGTTCATCCGGTGTCAGTTGAGCCTGGAGGATTTGAGTTCAACTCTAGCATTAAACACTTACTAGACGTGTGACCCTGGACAAGTCACTTAACACTCTGCCTCAGTTTCTCCATCTACAAAATGGTGATAATAATAGCACCTACATCACAGGGTTGTTGTGAGGATCAAATGAGATAATATTAGCGTGGTACCTGGCACATAGTAAGTGCTATGTAAAGGCTAGCTATTATAATTATTATTTCTCTATGCATATATACATTCCAATTATGAGAAATAACAAATTCCACCACCTGCTTCCTCCTTTGTACACTAGTATACTCGTTTTACCTCCTCCACTCCCCTCCTTCTCTTTCCCTCTCATAACTCTCAGAAGAGAAGAAATCCATCAGCAAGTCCTCCCATTCTTATTTAACTCCCTTTCTTTGCATTTCAAAGTTCCAATTCAGCTCGTCTTTTCATCAGAAATGCTTGAAGTCCTCTATTACATTTAGAATCTATTGTTTTCTTCTGTAGAAAAGTTCTAAGACTTTCTCGGACTTGTAGCACTCAGGAATAGAGCCTGACAAGCTTCTGGCTTACTTTTTCGTGCCAGCTTTGTGGTCAGTCTATACTATACTGTATTGCCCATGGGCTTCTGGCTGACTTTTTTTGGTAAAGTTTTGGGATGGCCCACCTGATTGTGGCTCTTTGGCACTTGAATTCTTTTGTTCTGGTGCCTGCTTGAAGTAGCTGTTCTTTAACCTGGTGACCCAGGATATTGGCTAAGATGTTCCTGAGAATTTTCATTCTGGGGCTTCTTTCAGAAGTGACTAGTTGATTCTTTCTATATCTACTTTGCCCTCTGGTTCTATGAGATCTGGGCAATTTTCTTTTAAGATTTATTGAAAAAGGATATCTAGGCTCTTTTTTGGGGAGAGGGGGTAGTGGAGTTCAGACAGTCCAATGATTTTTAAATTTCTCCTCCTTCCAGCCTGAGACATTTCTAGCTGTGTGGCCCTGGGCAAGTCACTTAACCCTGATTGCCTCCAAAATTTTTTTTCCCTCCTTGATCTGTTTTCCATGTCAGTTGTTTTTGCTATGAGAAACTTTCAATTTTCTTCTATTTGTTCAGCCTTTGAACTTTGTTTTAATATTTCTTGTTGACTCATGCAATCATTGGCTGTGATTTGGTCCACCCTAATTTTCAGGCAGTTTGTAGCTTGGGCAATGTTTTACAACTCTTGTGTCAAGCTGCTAATTCTCTTTCCTATTTATTCTTCCATAGCTCTCATTTATTTTCCAATTTTTTCCTTGAATGCTCTCATTCCATTTATGAAAGCATTTCTAAACTTTTAAAAAAAACTCAGGTTTCACCTCTTCTAAGAATTCTAGTTAAATTTTTGCTCAAGCTGTGTTTTTCTCTGAGGCAATCCTTGCAAGAACAAACAGCTATTGTACTCCACCTCTATCAATCAACTGGAAAACTCTGTGAACTCAGAGGGGCAGAATTATGGCTGCCTTTTGGTTTGGGATTCCCACTCTGGTTATTCCTTTGCAGACTAGGCTAGACATTGGAAGTGAGACCCTGATTTTCACCTGAGGTATGAGCCCCACTGCTGTTGCTAACAGCTTCTGACTTTCCTCCTTTCTCTGTGACAAAGGTGCCAGTTAGAAAGTGGCCACAGTGCAGTGCCTCAGTGTGAGTCTGGGTGTGCCAATGTGTCTGAGACCTCCTGTTGCTCTTGAGCACAGCCTCCACCAGGTCACTGGAACACCATGCAGCATGCTCCTGGCCCTACCCTATCTCCAGAGTCTGCAGACTTCTGTCTCCCTATGTCAAGCTGGACTGGACAAAGGACTCACTGTGACTTTTTCTGCATTTCCTCTAAGGATTTGGTCTGGTGCATTTTCTAGATCTATTAGGAGAAGTTTATGGAGAGGAGCTTGCTACACTGCTTCCCATCTTGGCTCTGCCTCTCCCAGTGTTTTGATTATTGCTAGCTCATAGAGGCAGCCATTTCTGTTTATTTCATTCTAATGACCAGGAATTAAATTACATGGGTAAGCTTTACAATTTTTTCTTCTAAGGTACTTACTCTCCTTCCAAATATTTTCTCCAGAGCTTTTAGTTCATTTTTCTTGCTTTGTTTCTCCTAAGTATTCATGAAATCTTCATGGATAATCTGTTTTTTCCTTTGAATTTCTGTTTGCAGTTATTCTCTTCTTTTAAGATAGATATTTGGGTATCCCTAGATCTATAGTAATTCTTCATAATGGAGAGATTTTTTTTCAGTTTACTTATTTTTCCTGCTTTAGTTTCTGAACTGGGACTTTATGCACAGGCCAAGTCCTCTTCTTCACCTTTTGCTGGGCTTCTGGGCAGGATCTGCTGGTCTGGCTTGTTCCTGACCTGGGTCACCTATGTACTGCCCCACCAGGTCTTTGAGGTTCAGCATTTAGGATCTTTAGAGACCTCTGTGAAATCTTGCTGGTAGGACTTTAGGGCCCTGGATCTGGGCGTCCCAGTCCAAGTGCTGCCACTTCTAGATTTGACACTGCTACTTCTTGTCACTTCCACGGTCCAGACTGGGTTTCTCCTCACCAGGAAGCTTTCTCAGAAGAGCTTTCCACTTTGGTCATGAGGGGAAGCTTCTGGCTTATTTGTCTGCACTGGCTTTGCTGGAGCGTTGTGCCTTTGCCAGTGCTTATGGGCTTCTGACTAATTTTAAAATTCAGTTCTAAGGTAGAAAAAGTCACTTATTCTAGTTTCTCATTGGATTTCTCAATTATTATTTGATTGGGTATAGTTTTTAGGATTTTGATCTAGTAGGTATGTGAGGGACTTGGATGCCTTTATCCATTTAGGCAGCCATCTTTGCTGGAAGTCTCTACTTATGTTATTGTACAACAATCCTTAGAGGTAGGTGCCATTATTAGATGCTAAGAGAAGAAGATTTCCTTGTTGTTAAATATACATCTGGATATGTTCTGTAACTTTAAAGAAGATAAGTGCATTTTTCTTTTTTCAAGAGGCTATGATCTAGGGGAAATCTGAGCATGTATATAATGGAGGACAGAGGCAATAAAATGGTAAAGAATTAAGATGAAAAGAGAAAAGGACAAAACTTTGTATTTGATAGTCATAGTTTTTTTGTCTTCTCCCTGGTGGTCAGCTGCCACTTCTTGTTTTTGTCAGTGTAGCTTCCTCTAATAATTTCCTTTTTAAAAAATTTGATTCTGTTGGTATACTCAAATTATTAAAACCATATTTAAACACAGAGCAACCAGGCTCTGAATAAAGGCATAAGGATCCTTCTTGAAAATTTAGTACGAGCTTCTTCTCAGCAGCAATTATGACTTCCTTGCTGGTTTACTGAATTATTCCAGATACCTGAGGCTGCTGGATCAGTGACCTCCTGATAAATGACAAGTTCTCTTTGTATTACTTTGTAGCTGCTTTTGTTCACTTCTCAGAACAATCCACATCCAACTGAACTTAAATGCCTTCTGAGAGGTTATCATCTGCAGTTACTAAACTATTCAGTCTGTCTTTAATTTTCCAGCTACTAGATTTTTATCCAATTTAGACAATCTAAAGAGTTGTGTTTAATTTAGTAACTTAAAGAGGCAAAGGAAAATGTTTCAAGCCATATATAGTTTCATCTAATTTTTATTACTCTGTAGGGAGAAGTGGTAGGTCATAATAGATAAAAGAAAAAACACTTACCAGGAGCCAAATCCCATAGGCCTCCTATCATAATCTGGCAGGTCCGGAGCAATCTTGCATGCTTGTATGTTCAAGTATTTAAATATGTGGATTTTGCCTTTTATACATATCTGGAGAAAAAGAAAGAACAAATAACATGGTCACGTACTTAACCAAAGTACTATTTTATTGTAGGCATGCCTTTTTAAAAACAAGTTGTGAAAAAAGTGGCATTTCTATATACTTAAGTTAGAAGAAAAATTAAAAAATGAATATTAGTGTTAAAAATATGAGACTGTATTTGGTAGTATATTTTTTAGTGGAAAATTAGTGCATAGTGTATATATCTATATCTCTATATATAGATATGTGTGTGTGCGTGCATGCTCTCACACTACATGTTACTGTAATATCCAGTATGTTTCAATAAGTAAGTAATTCTATCACCTTTGACTTTTAAGTGTAGAAAATGAGACAGTGATTAAAATACCTGTCCATCATTAGTGGTATTAGAATCTCTAATTTCAAAATGGTATTCAGCTAAATGAATAGTGTCTAATTGTTTAAGGTGGGCATTTTTTTTTTGCCTTGGAAAGCCCATGGTGTTACATAGACTTGTATAGACCAGACATTTTCACAGAGAAATAAGTGTCTATTCTTATACTAACTTGTTTTCTATACTCAGTGTATTAAAAATTTCTTCCCAGGTACTGTCCCAGGTAATGCTTGCAGATTTTTTTTACTACAAAGGTACAAGTGGCAAGGTAGATAGAGTGTTGGGCCTGGAGTTAAGAAGGTCTGAGTTTAAATGTAGCCTCAGACACCAGCTATCGGACAGCAGACAAATCACAATCTATCTTACTTTCCCCAAACCTGAAAAGGGGAAAATAAAAACACCTATTTCCCAGGGTTGTTCTGAGGATCAAATGAGGTATTTATAAAGTGCTTAGCTCAATGTCTAGCATATAGTAGGCATTTAATAAGTGCCTGATGTCTTCTCCCTACCCCTCCATCCCCAAGGCTATATCCAATTTCTCTCATATTAAGAGAGTTCCTTGCCATCTTCAATTCTAGTAAGAGGAAGAAAAATAACTGGAGGACATAGAATAGTGTATACTATACCAGTATCAAGAGCCACATGCTTCCAGAAGTGAAAATTTAAATTCTTTGGGACTATTACACCCATCTATATGTTTCACCGAGATTTATAGCTGCCAGTCCAATTAACAAATAATCAGAATTGTGTAAGAGCAGATAGTAAATAGCAGATATAATTTCAATTCTGGAATTCTATTAACTATATTATAGCAAATACTATGAGAGCTGATGGAACTCTGCTAACAAAGGCAAGATTACATCAGAATTGTATTCTATTTGGAAATTATTGAATAAATTATATTCAGTCATTATTGTTGAGCAAATGCTTTGCTCTGCTAAATGATAAACTGACGTTTTTAGAAACATTGTTACAAAAATAATCCCTAGATAGACTAAATGGATATTTTAATACAGAAAACTGAAGAGCATAATTTTCTCTTCCTTCATAATATGTTTGATTATATTTTCAAGGAAGGAATTCCAATTGTAAAAAAGGAAAGGAAAGAAGGAAGAAAAAAAGGAAGTTGTGAGACGGGGAAGAAGAAAAGAGAGGGGAAGGTAAGGGGAAAGAAGAGTGAAATCAAGAGATCTTTCCCACCGTCCACCTCAGCTATTCAAAACTTCTAAATAATAACATAACTTTTCTTAAAGACTTCATTCAAAAAAGAAACTTAAGTGGAAATAACCTAACTTTCAAATTCTGTCTTCTACTCCAACAGTTACAACAGTTCACCTGTGCAGGAGGAGACTGGAGGGGGGTTGTTATCTAGGGTGATCGTCTGTAGGTGCCTGAGGTTCCGGTAACAAACAGGGATGGATGTAATCTTATTGCAGGAGAAGTCTAGCCGTATTAAAGGCAAGTCGGCGAGCTCTGCATGTATGGAGGGAAAATGGAAATGTTCAGTCAGTTCAACCTAAAATCCCAAAGAACTAGAAATCACATGACCATGATTCTTACAATACTAAACACATTTTTTACCCAAACTAGAATTGGCACTAAAAAAGGCTTTAAGTCAATCATTAAGCATGATCAGAAATGCTTTATACAATAAGTTACTACTCTTTGAAGACTAAGCACTGCAGGAGAAGACTGCAAGGAAGGGATCATAATTCCTGTTAAGCAAGGAACAAGGGCGCACCACTCGGTCAGCACTACTGAGGGCTCTCAACTTTTCTTGCTCCCGAGGTAATGGGTTAGTCAGACTAAAGTCCCAGAGGAAGCAGGATGAAGACAGAGAGAAAAAAGAAAAGATATATAAATTTGGGATAGTCTAGTTGGGTTGTGTGTATTGGATGTGTTGGGAGTTTTCTAGAATTTTGAGTTAGGAAGCCCAAATGTCCATTTATACTCTGAACTAATGAAATTCCTCAAAAGGTAAGATTACTGATAAAAGAATCAAGTTTTATACAGTATAAGGGTCCTGATTAATCCATGACATCAGTCTCTAAGGATTAGAGATGTACCTCAACCATCCCTGGTTTATTTCAATTTTCATTCTATCTACATTTAACATTTTTTAAATAAACTTCAGTTAAATACCATTAGCTTTTGTATTTTCCAGAATGAAGAATTTACTCTGGAAATTCAATTTCTTTTCATCTATCATGACAAAGAGGGACTTCACTCTCATTACATTTGCAACTTGAGGATAAATATATAGATTTTTGCCACATGCTTCTCTGTATCCCACCTATAGTGCCTAGGGCTAGGCATATCATGTAGCACACATTCAAATAAATACGTAGTGAAATGGAATATGTATCTCCTCAAAGAATTTTTGTGTATTACTCTGTCATAAACTTTCTTTACCAAAAATATTTGTTTCCCGAAGCATTTATATAACTTGAATGCTCAGGGATCATGCCCTTATTAAATTCCACCAATTTCCTACCAGAGGTGAGTTTTACGAGTCTGTAACTCCTAGAATCTTCTCAGAAGTTCTTCATGCAAATGGAGGAGGAGCATCAACTTTGACAAACCAAAACAAAGATGATGCAGTGGAAGAAACTATCAAATAACAAACTAACCAAAACAGGCTAAAGAGAGACCGTGATTTTCAGATATAATGCATTCTTATAATGTGTTACATGCTATAAATATGTGTCCAAAAGAGTCAAAACAATAAAATCTTTTTCTTCTCACCTTCAGGTAAACGCACTAAGTGATTTCTTCTGATGTTAAGGTCTCGCAAGGACTCCAGATTGCCAACTTGGGGAGGTAGTGTCTGAATTTCATTACAGCTCACGTCCTATGCCAAAAGGATAAAAAGTAAAGAAATGTTCTAGTATTAGCAATTTATTTACATCAAACTATATGAAAAATGTGTTAGCATAAATGACTTTTAAAATTCTTAATATCCCTAAAAATTCTTGTTGCCATGATCAAGGCTGTCTAATTTCCATAGTTTGCTCTGGTATTTACTTTTGATAATACTATTACCACTACATTTGGTAATACTATCTATTTCCATGAATGGTTTTTAAAAATCTGAACATATTCGCTTTAAATTTTATAGTTATGAACAAAAAATTCACAGGATGTAATTGCAGCTTTAAAGTTGGAAGGAACCTCCAGAGGTTACCTAATATAAAGCATCCAAGACAAGGTAAATGATGTCTAGTTGTGGTAAACGAGGCCCAAATAAGTAACTCTCCCACGGTTACAATGGTGGTTAAAAGGCAAAGCTGGGAACTTGTCCCAGGTCCTATGACTCCAAATGAATCGAGTGCTTTTTTTCAATGAAGAGGTTTAAATGTGGAAAAAAGGCCAAAAAATAGCAGATCCTAGGAAGATTAAAATGCTAATAGAAATGCATGCAAGACGAAGTTACAAAAAAGAATCTTACATAGGACTCTATTTTTATGAGTTTGTTCTAATGATATATATAAAAAAACAAGAGGCAGCTAGATGGTACAGTGGATAGAGCACCGGCCCTGGATTCAGGAGGATATGAGTTCAAATCTGGCCTCAGACACATAATACTAACTAGCTGTGGACCCTGGGCAAGTCACTTAACCCCACTGCCTAGCCAAAAAAAGAAAAAAAGAAAAAGAAAAACAGGCTAAGGGCTAAAGCAATAATGATAGTTTTTAAGAGAAAAAAAATCACTTATTGATACAAATGTTTAACAAGTCAAACTGAAAAGTATATTGGAAAATAAAATGATTCATATAGAATGAGGGCAGAAAACACAACTGGAACTAAATTAAAAACAAGTTTTTGACAGATTAGTTAACAAAATATCAGAGACTTGCCACCAACATGAAGCTAGGGTAGAAGCTAGAGTAGATTCATCACTTCTATTATAATTTTGGCAAATGCATGGTTTCCGAGGTGCTAAAAACACCTTCATATGCAGATTCCAAGACTGATAAAGAATATCCATATTACTATTATTTTGAAAGTAGATACAACCACATGGGCAAGTTACTTAGGTGAATTAAATTTCAAACTGTCACAAAGAAATGCCAGGCAATATAAGAATGAAATGATAACATGTTAATATAGATACTATCTTAAAAATTCTTATTGTCAAGAAATTCATTTAAACTAAAATTAACTAATTAAAACTGTTTTTGCTCAAAAATGTCTTTTATAATATTATTCAGGTAGTAGCTATTACTTTGACCTTTCTGTAGAGATAACAGAGAAAAAAGAAGTCAAACATCATCACACAACTAAACAGAGAAGATCTAAATGGAACCTAGGTATTTTAATGTTCTAACCAACAAATTTAGCTTTTAAAAAGATGTTTACAGAATTCAAGTGTCTAGCAGTGTTCTACATAGGGCAGGCACTTAGTTGTTTAATGAATTTAACAAGACAATATCTTCATTTCAAATAAGATATAACATCAAGACATGATCTTTAACTGCAACATAAGGCATTTAGCTTAGTTATAAAGAATAATTTCATGTCACTAAGGAAATGACAAAAAATATAATGGATTACTACGGGGAGGTTTGGGAGCCTCTTTCCTTGAAGGTCTTTTAAAATACAATTTGCCTAGAACAGTTCAGTTTTATAAAATTCTGTTATCAAGTCAAAGATTTGGGGCAGATGAGTTCTAATGGTATTTCTCTGTCCATCATTCATTGTATATTTCAACTCTCTTTAATATTTAATGAATTTAAGTCTGTAAGTATATTTTTAAAAGGCAAGGTTTCATATTCCATGAGGCAACCTCAAACACTCCAGAAAAAATTATGGGATTATATTATGTCCTCTGAAATTAGAAGTTATTTCCAAGAAGGTGTAAGATAAGTCAGTATTTTCATTAACCTCATAATAGGGCACAAAGTGGCTAATGGGTAATTAAAGCATACATAAATTTTAAAAAGTTGAGTAAGATATTTTAGTTTATCTGCAGAATACGTGAACAAAGTATAAATGTGGAACAAAACACAGATACAATTCGCATGACTCAGTCTTCTTGTCAAACTTGTGTTTGTTTCAAGTATTTTAAGAACTAAATGCCAGAAGTTACACAGAAAGTAAAAATACCAGAAACATATAAGACATTGTAGTTGAATGCACAATTTTAACGCCAGCATACACTGTCAAGCCAACTTCTAAAAAGATGTTTGATAACTTTCATAACAAATTCTTTCATACAGAATCAGCCCTAAGAACACTGAGCTAGATTTCATATGGGTTACATTTTCTTTCCAATTTTAGAAATGTGTTCACATTTTCTGAACCTAACTGAAAAAATGTGAGCCAATTACAATGTAACTATTATGTTGCTCATTATATTCAACATTTCTTCAGGCACAAGTGGACTCAATTTCATTCCAGCTTATGATTGTAATGTCAGTTCAGGAATGTGTATAGACGCTTTAAAAGGAACAGAGGTGGCACAAAAATTTAGTGAAGAATCCAGCCCTGGTGAAACTGGGAAAAGCTCTGACTGGTGGGAAAAAAAGCTCATATTTACAAAAAGCTTTTTCCTGCTGTTGTTGTTCAGATGTTTCAGTCATGTCTGACTCTTCATTTCTCCATTTGGAATTTTCTTGGCAGAGATGCTGGAGTGGTTCACCATTTCCTTCTCCAGCTCATTTTACAGATGAGGAAACTGAGGCAAACATGGTCAAGAGACTTGCTCAGGATTATACAGCTAGTTCAGTGTCTGAGGCTGGATTTGAACTCAAGTCTTCCTGACTCCAAGCCTGGTGCTCTGTCCAAGGTGCCACCTTACTGCCCTGCTTTTTGATGAGAAACATGGTTTTTGTTTTGTTCTCCAACTACAACGTGACAGAGTTTAACAGCTGATATTTTTGTAGAGCTTGAAGGTTTGCAAAGGGCTTTTTACATACATGATCTCATTTGATTCTCTTGATAGCCCTGTGAGGAGCTACAAATATTGTTATACGTGCTTTATAGATGACAAAACTGAAGCTCAGAATGGTCAAGTTACTTGCTTACAATAACAGGACTTATAAAGCTACAAGAGTTTGGTTATGAACTAACATCTTCCTACCTTGAGCTGACAATGATTGTCCATTCCGTCATAACAGTGAGCCAAAATCCCTTATCTAAATTAGGGGTTCTTAACTAAGGGTTTGATAACTATATTTCAACATGATTGGTTTCCTTTGTATTCCTATGTATTTTGTTTTATGCATTTAAAAAATTCTGAGGAGCCCATAGGCTTCACTAGCGTGCCATAGGCTAAAATGAGGGCCCTTGACCTAACTGATATTAAAAGAATCTTACATATTAGTGGCACACGCAAATGTTTGAAAATGAAAACTATTAAATTCACAAAATTCACAAAAATCCAAACCACTAGGTTAGAGCATAGATTTAATGAAGGACAGACCCAAGAGTGATGGACTTGGCTTCAAATCCTGTCTCTGTTATGTACTATCTGGTATGGCCTTGGGAACTTTTCCCAACCTCTGTGTCCTCCACTGTGAAATGAGCAGGGTGGAATACATGACTTTTAAAATTCCCTTTCAGGTCTAAATCTATAATTTTATGACCCTACAGTGAGCCAGTTACCTTTTTGCTCTTTTGGATGGCTCTCATTCTAGCCTATGATCTCAAAAAAATCTATTATTTGTCACAAAAAGAAAGAATAAAGAAGATAATGGTTGGATTGGTACAAAATCTATCACCAATACTGAAAATGAAACTCAAAGGTACATGTTTTCCTGATGGACAATTTTCACATATAAAGAACAGCATATGTAGATTTCACAATCAAAATAAGGTATTAACTTACAAGCTCTGTCAAGTTTCTGAGATGTCCAATTTCTTCAGGAAGAGAGACCAATTTATTGTTACTGGCAATTAAGACTTTCAGTGGGAGATTACACATATGTACTGGCAGTGTTGAAAGCTGGTTCCGACTAAATGAGAAAGAAAAAGAGGAAGCGGTCAGAGAAGACCACTGAGAGAAAAATATTTCACATTCAGAATTCAACAATATATACTAAACATAAGATGCACAGTTCCCACATGAGCACTAATATTAAAAAGTAAATGCTTTATCAGTAAATATACATGCATTATCAGCTAAATGACTTAAAGTATTTTAATTTCTTTTCATAATCTTACCTCCAACATCTTTACTGCTTCTACCCTGCTGCCTACAAACATGTCCAGATTTTGAATTAAATCAATCAATTTAAAAATTAAATGTAATTTGATTTTTAAATTTAAAATAAATCAATTAAATTTCTAAAAAATCAATTAAGTATTTATTAGGTTTTTATTACATGACAAAGCACTGTGCTTTATTACATGACAAGGCTCTGAGGATACAAGTACAGAGAACAAAACAAACCTTCATGCCTCTGCAACTCCCTCAGGCTACTGTTCTATAATCTCTCCTGTTTTTCAAAGCCAACCTTCAAGAAAAAGCTATCAACTCTCACTCCTAAAATTCTGCAATTTGGCTTCTTAGGAAGCAAATCGCTCATAACTTACATACAGGTGATCTCCTATCTGTTCATTCTTACAGCTTTTTTTCCAATATTCATAATACTTGACTTCTCTTCAGTTTTTAACACTATTAACCACTCCCTTCCACTTGAACATTCTTTCTTCCTTGGGCTCTGGTGGCAATTCCCTCTCTTGAATTTGCTCCTAGCTGTCTCACTACTCCTTCAAAGAGAGAACGTCTCTTGCCCATCAAATGTGGGTGTTCCTACACACTCTGTTTTGGACTTTTTGTTATTTTCTCTCTCTATGCAATCTCTGAATGATCTTACCAATTCTTAAGGGTTCAGCTGTCTTCCACATGCAGAAAACTCATAAATCTACATAACTACTGCTTTTAAGTTTCAGCCCTCCACTGCCTAACACGTGCTGAATATCTCCTGGATGTCCCATAAGCAAACTTGGACTCAACAAAACTCATTATTCCTCCTATCACCCTCTCAAAAGAAAGAGAAGGGGAAGAAGGGATGGCGGGAGAGAGGAAAGAAAGGAAGGGAGAGAGATGGAGACAGAAATAGAGAGAGAGAGAGAAATTGCCCACTCTCCTCCATTTCTATTAAGAGAAATAATATCCTTTCAATGATTCAGATTCACAGCCTCAACTTTTTACACTCCTTTCTCCATCATATCCCATCAATTGCAAAATATAATCTGAACTCCATGTCTTTTTCATCTATCCCTTTCTTTCTATTCACATGGCTAGCAATCTGGTGCAGGCTCTCATTATAATAAATATTTCTTGAATGAATTCACTCACTTTTGCCTGGACCACTGTAATAGCATCCTAACTCTACTCCACATAGCTGCCAAAATAATCATTCTTATAACAAAGGTCTGATGTCATTCCCTGGTTCAAGAATCTTCAATGGCTTTCTATTTCTTTCAAAATAAAATACAAACTTCTCAGTTTAAAATACTCTCAGCTAAAAGTCCTGGCTCCAATCTACCTTTCTAGCCTTATTCACACTATCACCTCAAAAGACACTCAATGTTCCAGTTAAACCAGCCTCTTTGCAGTTCCAAGACGTCATCATCCATCTCTCATTTCCATGCTTTTGCACAGGTTCCTCCCCTTTTCCCTCACCTCCCTGCTTGCTATGCATTCACTCTTCACATCCATCTCTTCGAATTCTTACCTTCCTTCAGGGCTTAGTTCAGGTGCCACCTACTATAGGAAGCCTGCCCTAATCCTCCTGGTTGGTGGTACATTCTCCCTCTTTAAAAGATCTTGTATTTACTTATTTATGTTCATGTCATATATTATTCCCCTCACTAAAACATAAGCCCCCTAGGAGAAATGATTATTAATAACCAATGATTTGGGGAGATCCAGAATTTCCCTCTTTTTCTAAAGTTCTGGTATTAAAAAAGTTCAATTTCTTGAAGAACACTGCTGATAATGAGATTGGACTAACTTTCTTGGTAGAGTAGCCATTATGTTCTGCTCAAGCTTGGATGGCTTGAGTAGACTGCCCAAGGTTAGGAGTGTTCTGGGTACAGAGAGATAGTGTCTCTGTACAAGGGTGACATGATGTCACTCTCAGCCCCTCATTGCAATATTTGTTCTTTTATTAATTGTTATTCAACCAGGGTTGAGTCCCACCTGGGGGAACACTTATTTGTGTGTACTATTTTACAAATGAGTCCCCATTTTACTGTTGAGGAAAGTGAGGCAGACAAAGTTTAAATGACTTGCCCTATGGTCACAGATAGTATGTGTCTTAGGGCCAGATTTGAATTCAGGTCTTTCTGAGTTCAGGCTCAGCACTATCCACTCTGCCACCTAGCTGCATCTCAGGTTCCTGGCCTGTCTCCATCAGGGCCTGAGGTGGTGGTCAAAGTGTTAGTCATGGTCTGACTTGCCTGGCATATGCTGCCTCCTGTCTCTCCTTCAGGGTGTCTTGGTGCTTTAGCTAAGGCTGGGCTGTGTGCCCTATGAATGGCAGTTGGCAGGAACGAATAGCTCCTTCTCTTGCAGCAGCTGCTTCCCCAGATGATGCCTTTAAGAGCTGAACTAGCAGTAGTATCAGTGGTCTGGCGGGTACTGCAATTTCCAGGGCTCCTATGCTCATCTTCTTGGGGATGGCATTTGGTTGGCATTTACTGCAAGTAGTAATGAGAAAGGTAGCAAAGGTGGGCTCTCTTCTCAATGATTTCTCCCCTTAAAGAGGGCTGTGGGGCCTGTCCTGGAAGCAGGTCTGGTGGTTTTGGAGACACCGCTATTTCCAAGCTGTTACACTTGGGGTCCTTGTTGTCTCCATCAGGGTTTGAGAGGAAATGGTGGTCAAAGCAGTGACATCAGTAGTTTGATTCTCTTGGCATATGCTACCTCTTATCTCTTCCTCAGTGTGTCTTTGCTGCTTCAGCTAAGCTGGCTTGCTTGTCCTGTGAGAGGCAATTGCTACTTTCTCTACATCTTACAGTCTGGCAATGAGAGGTTAGGTGACTTTACCAAGGTTAGCCAGCATGTCTCAGTGGCAGGACACAAACCTAAGGCTCTCTGTGTTGAGCTCTCTATCTACTACACTATGCTGGCTAAGATAAAGTGTATCTTAATAAATATTAGGAATATATTCAGTTGCTCATGGGTAGGCTGAGGTAATATGATAAAAATGACAATTCTATCTAAGCTAATTTACTTTTTCAGTGCCACACCAATCAAACTACCAAAAAATTATTTTATAAAGTTAGAAAAAATAATAACAAGATTCATTTGGAAGAACAAAAAGTCCAGAATATCAAGGGAACTAATGAAAAGAAATGCAGAGGAAGGTGGCCTAGCAATTCCAGATCTTAAATTGTATTATAAAGCAACAATCACCAAAACTGCTTGGTACTGGCTAAGAAACAGAGTGGTAGATCAGTGGAATAGGTTAAATATGCAAGACACAGTAGTCAATGACCATAGTAATCTATTATTTGATAAACCCAAAGACCCCAGCTTCCAGGATAAGAACCCACTCTTTGAAAAAAACTGCTGGGAAAACTGAAAAAGAGTATGGCAGAAACTAGGCATAGACCAAAATCTCACATCATATACTAAAATAAAGTCTAAATAGGTTCATGATTTAGATATAAAGGCTGATACTATAGGCAACTGGGAGAGCAAGGAATAGTTTACCTATGAGATTTATGGAGAACAGAAGAATTCATAACCAAATAGGAAATAGAGAACATTATGAAATGCAAAATGGATAATTTTGATTACATTAAATTGAAAAGTTTTTGCACAAACAAAGCCAATGCACAAGATGAGGAGGGAAGTAAAAACTGGGAAAATTTTTTACAACCAGTATCTCTGATAAGGGCCTCATTTCTAAAATATATAGAGAATTAAGTCAAATTTATAAGAACAAAGTCATTCCCCAATTGATAAATGGTCAAAGGATATGAACAGGCAGTTTTCAGATGAAGAAATTAAAGCCATCTATAGTTATACTAAAAAATGCTGTTTAGAGAAATGCAAATCAAAACATCACACCTATCACACCTATCAGATTGGCCAACATGACAAAACAGGAAAATGATAAATGTTGGAGAAGATGTGGGAAAATGGGAAGACTAATGAATTGTTGGTGGAGTTGTGAACTGATCCAACCATTTGGGAGAGCAATGTGGAACTATGCCCAAAGGGCTATAAAAATGTGCATACCCTTTGACCCAGCAACCGCATTTCTAGGGTTGTAACCCAAAGAGATCATATAAATGGGAAAAGGGCCCACATATACAAAAATATTTATAGCGATTCTTTTTGTGGTGGCAAAGAATTGGAAATTGAGGGGATGCCCATCAATTGGCGAATGCTTGAACAAGTTGTGATATATGAATGTAATGGAATACTATTGTGCTATAAGAAATGATGAGCGGGCAGACTTAAGAAAAACCTGGAAAGACTTCTATGGACTAATGCCGAGTGAAATGAGCAGAACCAGGAGAACACTGTACACAGTAACAGCCACGTTGTGTGATGACTAATATTGATAGACTTAGCCCTTCTCAGCAATGCAAAGATCTGACACATCTCCAAAGTCTCATGATGGAAAATGTTATCCACATCCACAGAAAGAACTATGGGGTCTGAATGCAGATCGAAGCATACTATTTGCTCTTTTTTTTTCCCTTCTGTCTTGTTTTGTTTCCTCTTTCTTGTGGTTCTTCCTATTGGTTCTAATTCTTCCTTACAACATCACTAATGTGAAAATATGTTTAATAGGAATGTATACGTACAGCCTATATCAGAATGCACACCGTCTTGGGGAGGAATGGGAAGAAAAATTTAAAACTCAAAAGCTTATGGAAATGATTGTTGATGAATCAAAATAAATTAATTAATAAAAAAATTAGGAATATAAAGAAACTTGCAAGGACCTGTATTAAATAATGTAAAGTTTTTAAAAAGCAGAAAAATTATGATATTTTATGCAATGAAATTCCTTTATGTAAATAAACAGTTGCCAAACAAGTTTAACTGACCATATTGATGTTTAGTGCTGTATACAGGGATAGGGCCTCAACTTATGATTTCATTAGGATAGGGAACTCCCAGGTAAGGAAATTCCTTTAGCCAATCCAGGCTAGCATTTTTATGCAACTTATAGTCTTAGAGTTTTGCCTAGAGCACTGAGAGGTTGACTTGCCTAAGGCCACACTGCCAGTATTGGTTAGAGGCAATATATGAACCCAAATTTTCTTGGTTTTGAGGATGATTCTCTAGCCATCGTGCCATGCTATCTCTCTTTATTTTTTAAAGGAACAAAAAAAGAAATCCTGTAATATTAATATGACTTTAAATTTCTAAGTCCAGAAGTTGAAAAGTGGTTAATTTTAAGTTCCTTCTATATGCCTATTAATCATAAAAACAGGCACCATCTTATACATCCTTATTATCTAGCAGAATTTCTTGTGTATGTTAATCTTCACATCCAAAGGTAAATAAGAATCAAGCTACATATATAGATAAGAGAGCTATAATCTCAAACCTCTTTCTAGTTGATGAAATATATTTTAAAAAATAATATGGTGACCATTTAGGAGTATTAAGACCATTTGATGTCAATTGTGAGAAGAGAAAAATATAAAAATCTATTGCTTAAATACTGACTGGACAAAAAAAGGGAAAACCAGGAAAGATCAGGAAGTACTGCTAATACACACAAGATGATGTACACACAGGTGACATAAACATAGTATTAAGTAAAGACAGATTTATAAGATGAAAATCTACAACAGAAGTATAAAGTGATACAACTGATAAAAAGTCTATTACACTTACCTGATATTTAGAAATGTTAATGCTTGTAGATTCAGAATTGCCTCTGGGATATACCGAATACAGTTTTGATACAAGTTGAGACTCTCAAGGGAAACAAAGTGGCATGCTTCTGCAGGAATTTCTGAGAGGCGATTCCTTGATAGATCTGAAAGGAAAACACATTTCTCAATACTTAAAAACAATCTCTCAAGTCCTCATTTTGCTTAAATATTAATTACAAAACCAGGCCATATACACACACACATACATATCTCATTCACAGTGCTTTTTAAATAGTGAAGGCACTCAACAAATATTTGTTAATTGATAGAATTTGCCAAAGCTTACAAATTTTATACTAACTATAAAAATGGTCTTTTTTTTTTTGGTGAGGCAATTGGGTTAAGTGACTCACCCAAAGTCACACAGTTAGTGAGTGTTATGTGTGTGAGGACAGATTTGAACTCAGGTCCTCCTGACTCCAGGGCTGGTGCTCTATCCACCATGCCACCTAGCTGCCCCTAAAAATGGTCTTAATGACTTTAACATAAGTAACCCCACATGTCACATTTTTTTCCCTGGTAATTACTGGTAAATTCACCAACAACCAACTAAACCACCACACGTGTCTGAAAATGAACGCCTCAGAGGCCAGGCGGTACAGTCGAAATAGAATGATGGACCTGGAAGTCAGGAATAGGGGGATTCAAATCCTGGCTCAGATTCTTGTTTAGCTATATCATCCTAAGTAAGCCATTTCACTTCAGCTTTAGTTTCTCCATCTCTAAAATGGGGATAATATAACAGCATTATCTCAAAGAGTTCTGAGGACCAAATGAGATTACCAGATATAAAAGCCTTTTTCAAATCTTTAAACACAATATAAATGCTAGCCATCAGCTATTGCTATCCTACTACTATAGTTTACCTCTTCTCTACCAAGAAGTGGTAGTTCCACTGAAGTTGAGATTAGTCACTGACAAAATTATCATTCAATTTGAAGGAACCCTTGGAAAACAGTTTTCCCTAGCCCACACAAAAAATGTGCTTCTCCAAAGTCTCCAAAACACTCAAAAAACATTTAGAGAAATGTCCCCCCAATTTCAACAAACTTATGAACTCTCAAGAACAGTAATTACCTAGGAATTCACACTTATTCATTTTGGTTTTTTTTTTAATGAATTTAATCATAAAAAAACCCACAAATATTCACACATACAAGAAGAAAAAAGAGGATGATATGAAATTGTGAATTTCTGTTATATATCATTTTATACCAGATTACAGTGACTTAGGCTAGTACCCTGGTGGTTTAGGTTCAATATCGGGATGAAATGATACACTTGTAAATTAATCAACAGTTTAACAAAAGGAGATTTACTTAGCTATAGCAAGCAGAGGACATTCAAGGAGATGACACTCTGATCTGACTTAGCTAAGTGAAGCCATTCTGTCTCTTAAGATGCTTGTTGTGGTCAGCCAGCCAGTTCTCCAAATCAGGCAAGAATTTCTCATGGTTGTTTTATACTAGTACAACCAGGAAGTGATGTCAAAAGCCACAACCTTTAGTGCCTTGAGACAAGCAAAACAAAAACTAACTTGCGTGGAATGGGGCAGCAAAATGAGCTGGAAAAGGAAACTGCAAATCACTCCAGTATCTTTGCCAAGAAAACCCCAAAGAGGGTCACAAAGAGTTGGACACAACTGAAAACAACCGAACAAAAACAAAACTTGCATGGGAGTAGGGAATGGAGTTAGGATACTGCTCCCACTATACCGTAATTACTTGATGGTAAGTAAGGTGTTTAAGTTCTTCTAGAGCAGTGTTGTCAGAATCAAAATGAAACACATCAGATCTCGGATCCTTGCAGGCAGCATAATGATTAAGAAAACCAAAAATTAACATTACGTATGTTTTACTGCATTTTTATTTATTTGGTTAAATATTTCTCAATTACATTTTTATTTGGTTTGGGCTGCACTCAAGAGTACTGGGGACCATGAATTTGACACCCTCGTTCTAGTAAGACCTTCTATCACCTAAATGACTTTAGAGTTATTACTGGTCAACTCTGAACTCTCAGATGCAAGAAGTCTAATATAAGTATCACTAAACAAGGAAAAAAAAATTCAGAAAGAAAGCTAAAGCAAAGCACAACAAAACAATTTAATAATCCCCTGAAGGGGTGACAGGAGAAAGAAGACCAAAAAACCAAAACTTTGCCCAACCTTGGAAAAGGAATGAGTCTTAAATCTAAACAATCTGGTCTGCGTGGTAGGTGATGCCAAACCTTTGTAGTTCACAATGGATCTCTCAACGTAAAAATGTGAACTTGAGCCACAAAAGTATCAGGAACAACAGGGCTACATTAAACATGATGCTTCTTGTAAAGTTACTGATAGATTAGCAGAACTGCCCTGTACTCAGTTAGTGTTGGTTGGCCCACTTCCCTTCCTGAAAGCCCCTTGGGGATAAGGGAGGGGGAAGGAAAAACAAGTCTTTTCTCCCTTTGAGGGACTGTCACCCTACTTTTGTTGAAACAGGGTAGACATTTGTTACCTTTTCCTTTCTGCCTGAGAGTAAGCCACCTTCCAAGAATGCCACCCTTTGGTCCTCTAATTGCTCCCTAGGGAGGAGCTGTCTAATGACCACTGGATGTCCTACAGGAAGCAATGTAGAAGGACCAAATAGTTCTGGATTACAGTAAGCAGGGAGTTAGACTAGGTCTGCCATTGCCCATGCCAGTATCTATTCTGCTGGGATCTCTAATTCTGCCTACTCTATTGCTGCTAAGGCCTGACAAATGATATATTTCCATTAAAACAAAACATACCAAAGTTTTTTTACTTCTGAAATTACTTTAAAAAATAAACAATTATCTCTTCTTTTAAAAAAAGTTTACCACAGGAAGCAGTTATAGCTAACCATTTAACCAAATCAGATGGATGTTACATTGAAATGCTAGATTTTTTTAAACTAGCATGAGATGCTAAAGTATATGATAGAATATAGTCTGAGAATTCTAAATCTCCTTTTATTCTTATGTTATAAAAAGTACTTATACAATTAAAGTAATTCAAAACAAGCAAAAAATTTTCTATTGTCTTTATATTAACATAAAATATGGCAAAAAAGAATTACATTGCCAGTTTGACAAAATAAAATGACATCAATCTGATGAAAGAGAAGAAGAAAATCAAGTTAATTTTAAAATGTAGCAAATCAGAGCAAATGTAGCCAAAAGATTAAAATAATCATGGCACATTTTAAAATAAGAAGGCCTATTATCTATTTCATCTGTTTCAAATATTGATATATTAACCAGTATAACTAAATCAGCTTTAAAGCATAGACAAATATGATTTCTATCTTGAGGAAAAAACTGATAGTAAAATAAATGTTTATAAGACTTATCTCTATACTTATTATTTTTCTTTTCCATACAATTTTTTTGGAAATGAATTTCAAAATAACTAGTTATTTTACCAAATGATCTAATTTTTAAAATGGGGCTTCTAATTAGAGGTTTGGGATTTTTTTTCAGATTGAGCTGTATTTTGACAGTAGTCAATTTTTCCTCTATTAATTACATGAGCTTCAACAACAGCATGAATTCATAAATTAATTGAATGCATTCATTAGATATTTGGACCACAGGTCACAGAGAGAATAGTGATGGAATTCGTGGGGGCTTTTTGAAGGAGAAACTCAAAGGACAGATCAAGAAAATTTTGATCAAACAGTATAATGAAAAATCTTCTATAATTTAAAAGAAAAACCCAGAATACATTCTTAAGTTAACTCAAATGCTAAAATTTTAAAAAAAGTTTCATGTCAATGAATGACTTCCTTGTTTTAAAGGAATTTTTAGAAAGCCAAGTGAATGAATAATAACACGAAAATTTTAAATAAAAGAATAGTAACAAAGAGACTATAAAAACAAGAGAAAAAAATAATACAGTATAACCAGGCTGGATTCATACCAGCAATGAAGAGTTGGCTCAATATTAAAAAATGATAAATATAAAAAATTAGAATAAGAACAACAAAAACCCAACCACTGGACTACCAATGGATTTAGAAAAATTTTTGACAAAATACTGCATCTATTTCTGTTAAAAATACTAAAAAATATAGGATAAATAGATTTTTCAGTAATAAGTTGAATAGTATCAATTTAAAATAAAAATTCAGAATATATGATAAATGGTCAAAAGATATTGAACAAGCAGTTTCCTGATGAAGAAATTAAAGCCATCTATAGTCATATGAAAAAATGCTCTAAATAACTATTGATTAGAGAAATGCAAATCAAAACAACTCTGAGGTACCACATCACACCTATCAGATTGGCCAACATGACAAAACAGGAAAATGATAAATGTTGGAAAAGATATGGGAAAATTGGAACACTAATGCATTGATGGTGGAGTTGTGAACTGATTGAACCATCTTGGAGAGCAATTCAGAACTATGCCCAAAGGGCTATAAAAATGTGCCTAGCCAGCAATAGCACTTCTAGGGCTGTATCCCAAAGAGATCATACAAATGGAAAAGGAAACCACATGTACAAAAATATTCATAGCAGCTCTTTTTGTGGTGGCAAAGAATTGGAAATTGAGAGGATGCTCATCAATTGGGGAATGGCTGAACAAATTGTAGTATATGAATGTAAGTAATGGAATACTATTGTGCTATAAGAAATGATGAACAGGCAGACTTCAGAAAAACCTGGAAAAACTTGTATGCTCTAATGCTGAATAAAGTGAGCAGAACCAGGAGAACACTGTACACAGCAACAGCCATGCTGTACAATAAATAATATTGATAGACTTAACCCTTCTCAGCAATAAAAGGATCTAAGATCTCTCCAAAGGCCTCATGATGGAAAATGCTATCCACATCCAAAGAAAGAACTATGGAGTTGAATGCAGATCGAAGCATACTATTTGCTCTTTTTTTTTCTTCTGTTGTATTTTGTTTCCTCTTTCTGGTGGTTCCTCCTATTGGTTCTAATTCTTACTTACAACATTACTAATGTGAAAATATGCTTAATAGGAATGTATATGTACAGCCTATATCAGATTGAACACCGTCTTGGGGAGGGAGGAGGAGAAAAACTTAAAACTCAAAAGCTTACGGAAATGACTGTTGATAAATAAAAA